TCCTCCTCCTCCTCCTCCTCTTCTTCTTCTTGTTCTCATGATTCTTATTCTACATTCCTTGATAAGGACATCCCGTTCTACACCATGGAAGCGATTGACAATAGTGCCCAGTACATCCTGCTGAACAGAAACTCTGGGGTCCTCTATCTCATCGATGATCTCAGCAAGCTGCAGAGCACTCAGACGTCCTTTGTTGTGAGTAGTACAACTATGGTTTACTAGTATTGTGAAAAATATTTTTGACTTTAGAAAACAAGTCTCCCAATAGTGTCAATAAAGTCATTTTCACCTTGAAAAAACAAACAAAAAACAAAACAAAAAAAACCAGCAACAAAAAAGCTTTACTGCAGTTGAACTGTTAGTTTTCAACCACAGCTTCACTATATTGGCTTTATCAGTTTTTATTATGATTCATCTATATAATCTCTAGTATTATGTTTCAGTTCACGGTGGTTGCAACAGATCGGCCAGTGAATGGAAAAATCGTCAGGCAGCAAGTTGTCGTTTCCTTGGTCCGCGACACGACACCTCCGACCTTCCCAGGGGCGCCTTACACCGTGACCATCCCCGAGACACAGCCGGTGTCCTCTGTCATCCTCAACACCATCAGGGCCACGGATACAGATCCACAGGTAAGACGAATGTGTTTGCAAAGTTTGTTTTTTAACACTCTGCGGTCACTTGCCGCAGTGAGGTCACTTGCCGCTGTGATTTGATGGGCACTCTTTTGTTATTTACTATTTTTATTTCTTTTAATTAAGTTTTTGTCATTTCCTAGCCTTTTGATGGCAAAATATAGTCATTACCTCCTGCTGACTGGCAGAAACTTCAAAATCAACAACTACATTATCTTTGCAGTTGTTGCTCTACTTAATGATTTCTCGTGTGAGACCAGCCAAGTAAAATGGCAAGAGAGGTCCCCATGTATAACAACCCAAAGGAATGGAGCAAAGGGATGGAAAAGTGGGTCAATAAAGAGACCCACGGTACCCCAGCTGGAAACACAAACCCTCTATTGGTGACACAACTACCGTTAATTCTCAGATGTACTTGTGTGTTGTCTATTTTCTTTTCCTTCATTCCGTTTTTCTCTATTTTTCATCTAACAATAAGCATCCTGTTTTGCCTTTAAATTGACCTAGTGATGACTTAAAAAAAATATGACTCCTTCAAGAAGGAAATAGATCACAACCCCCCCCCCTTTGCAAAAACCTTTACTTTTAGTGTTGTTTTGTTTTTTTCCCAAAGGAGGTATGTACACTTTGGATATGTCATTGTTTAGAGTATTCTTTTCTCCCCAGGGTACAATGACCTATGAACTGACTGGCATTTATCCTGGAACTAACTTCTTTTCGATCAATTCCACTAACGGCCAGCTGAGAGTCTCTCAAGACCTCAGGAGGGATTCCCTTGCAACTCCCCAGTACCTGGTAAATTTGCAATTGCACGTTATATTCCATTCCCTTTATGTACAGCTATTGACGGGCATGTCGTTTGGCTCGGAATCGTCACAGAATACTGAGACTTTTCTATATCAGACACACCAATGTTTTTCGCTTCTTGGCCAGGCTATGAGTATGACTTATTTAATTACAAGTTGGCCACCATATGTCACAAATGTTTGAATGATAATGCACCATCATATTTATCAAATCTGTTAAGACTGTACATTCCAACTTGCAGTTTAAGGTCATCAGCTGACAAAAAGAAATTTATTTTACCATCTATGAAACTTAAAACAATGGGTGAAAGGGCATTTGAATACCAAGGCCCCAAGATCTGGAATGCTTTACCAAGTACATTGAGAGAAATCAAATCTTTTGATTCATTCAAATGTCAGCTGAAGTCGTTTCTGTTTTTAAATTAATAAGATGAATATTTGGAATAATTTTCTTTAGTCAGAACACAACGTTTCATGTTACTGTTGTATGTCGCACTGTATTGTAAAGCGCTCAGAGCCTGTGTACTTTATTCGGGGTTGAGCGCTATATAAATGTCATTTATTATTATTATTACATGTCCTGTTTCCGAGAGAATTCCTAACTGCTCCTAGCCTTGTAAATAATCAAACTCAACTTCTAATTCATACTAAAGTAGGAAAATAACAGCTGTGAGTAGCTCTTATTGAATGTTCGTTTTTAACTCAACTATTGTATCATTGTTCTGAAGTAATTTTTTTCTCTCTCTGTTATTGTTTTCTTCTTGTAGCTGAGGGTGGTTGCCTATGGAAGTAACCTGCCCAGTTCCCAGGGGACGTCCACCGTGACCGTGTTTGTGACCCGTAACCCCAGCCGTCCTCAGTTCAACTCGCCCGTCCGGGTGACCGTACAGGAGACCCGCAATCCGGGTTATGAAGTGACCAATATCACTGCATTTGACGCGGACGGGGTATGTGTTTTTTCTGCCTCGGTGAGCTGAAGGTTTCAGAGTGTTCTGCTCCTGCGTGCTGTTGGCATCGCTGACCGTTTATGACGCCACAGCGCCAGGAGAGAGGGAGAGAGAGAGAGAGGGAGAGAGAGGGAGAGAGAGAGAGAAAGGGAGAGAGAGAGAGAGAGATAGGGAGAGAGAGAAAGAGAGATAGGGAGAGGGAGGGAGAGAGAGAGAGAGAGAGAGAGAGAGAGAGAGAGAGAGAGGTCTGCTCTTTCTTTCCTATCAAACATCTATGGTCCTTATCTCTCCTCCTTTTTTCCTGTCAAGCATCTATAGTCCTTATCTCTGCTCCTTTTTTCCTATCAAACACTTATCGTCCTTATCTCTCCTCCTTTCCTATCAAACCTCCATCATATTGTGACATAGCTGCTGCCTTAAAGACTGATTCAACTAGAATCTGATGGCCAAAGCAATAGCTTGGATGATTCCATTGAAAAAAAAAAAAAGTTTTCCTTTTTGACCTATTACCTTGACCATCTGCTGTACTTCGTATTTAATTTAATAAGACTCAAGTCTGTTTTCTGGACAACAATTACTTTTCTGAAATGGGCTTCGATCGTTTTGTGTACAAAATATAGATAGTTTAAAACAGTTAAACAGAAACCAAGATGTTAGAAGCCTTGCATTGTGTTGCATTGTCAAAAAATAGAAACTATTTTTTTTTTTCCAAAAACAAATTTTGAATCGTCTTTGTTTACGGTCAGGATCGCATGGTTTACCGCCTGACAAGGGATCTGGATGGTAAGGATGGTCTGACCTACTTTTTCATGGACCCTCAGTCTGGAGTGGTCAAGGTGCAGAGCCCGCTCACCAATACCCCGGAGAACTCCTTCAGGGTGAGCCTGCCAAATC